TTTAGAATTGAAATTTATTTGCTTTATCCTAGCAAGTAGCATAACATTAGCTTATGTTTGGAAACCCGTTTCTAACCGTTTTTGCAACCTTCGAGACAAAGCTGATATTTAGGATTATTCTGTCCATAGTTTTTTATATTCATGTGATTACTTTTGATAAAATCTGAATGTAAGAAACTGCTAGATGGCTGAGGGGTGATGTTCATGCTGCGGTGGGCTTGAATGCCACATTTTAAATATAGAAGCAGATTGATTTTAGACCAAACCATAGTTTCTGAAATTAAATTTCCCTTATTTTACTTCTAGTAGTCTCTAAGCAAGTAATTTGGATTTGTTTGTGTTAGGTAGAAAACTTGGTTGGGTCAGTGACGGGAGTTATGCTTTATGGTACATACGGATCTCCATCTCTTGATGTTTTTGCCACGGGAAGAAAGTTATGAAGCTTCCATTTCATCTTTTACAAGCAAGGCAAGTATGTTTTCATTCTTTTGTAATCTGTTGTCTCTCTCACCCTCTCATTCTCATGACATGATACTGAAGTTCTGGTTCTAGTTGTTAGAAAACAGTGAAGTGAGTGTTTAAAATGCTGAAGTTTATTACTGAATCCTCATATATTTGTGGTTATTAAGCTAATACTCTCTTAACTTATTTTCTGTAGGAATGGAAATATTACCTGAACAGAGGATCTCAAGTGAATATTCATCATATCACCTGAGCTCTAAGAGCTCCTCAATTTATCTATTAATCATTGAAGGTATGCTTTCCATAAGAGATTGTTGCGTGTTCTCCTTTGTTTAATAATGACAATGCTTATCAATAATAAAACTGCTTTCTTAACATGCTAAAGAATTGCTACAAAGTTTGCACCTTTCAGAAGTATCAATTTGCATCAATAAAACTTCTATCATAAATTCTTGTTGATCAGGATCTGAAAGAGCATTACTGTCTGAAAACAAACCAAATGAGCATTTGCGGATAAACTTTCCTTCTGAACTTTGTTTGCAGAAATCTTTCTAGTTCAGCCAGTCTGCACTTCTTCTCAAGACAAATTCATATATGAACTATTGAATTTATGAGATCACCCTGTTTTCATCGAGACCTTTGCATTTAAGACGTTACTCTCTTTTGTTTTGACTTTAATCTACAATTGTATACTCACCAGTTAATATTATTTCATTTATACCAAATTAACTGAAAGCACAAATTCAGCGAGCATGCTATTCTGATGCCCTTTCTTGCAGGGGATGATGGCTTTACCCAGTGGCTTGAGGACCTAACATATCCCAATAGCACTCTCTCTCGTGGAATGTAGTCCATGGTACAACGGTGACAGGAAATTGCATCTTTATCTACACATGTCCTATACTGATGTCAATTACTGTTTTACTACAGGAACTGGCATGATTACACAAGACATATTTCTTTCATCAAGCTATTACGTGATAGCGAGAAATTTGAATGAGGAAGCTGAGGTATTTCTGCAAACCTCTGATAGATTTTCTCTTCGTGTTGACTTGGCTTGATAGAAACTGAGGAATGAATTGCAAGGATTAGCTTCATTGATAATGAGTGTTAAAGTGCTATTTTTTTGCCCTTTAGGACATTTCAAATCATGGTATAAATTTTTAATATCCTTTACGTTAGGAATTCTTACACACGCTCAGTTTATATGTCATGTATACACTGGCTAGTAAAATAGAGCCAAATCATGTAAAATATCTCACGCAACATTCCATTTATGTAATAGTGCTACAATGATTGATAGAATGCAGACCTCACACAACATTTATACAATAATGGAATACCAGTTAATAGAATGTGAGACCTAATTATATATATAAAGTTGGTACTATTTTATTAATAGTAGGTGAATTTCATTTTGTTTGTAGACCTTTTTTAATTCAAGAAAGTATAAACGATATGACTCACCCTGGATATCCTGGAATTTTTCTCCTTAAAATAGTTGGATAAAGTTCCATTGATTGTGATTTTAACCCACTTCGCTTGTATTGTTGCTTTTGTCCTCATTGCTGGTTATCACTATTTACTTGAATCATTCTTCTCATTGTATAGGTCAAATTGAGCATCAAAGTAAGAGCCTCCTTGTATAATACAACGAATGCTTACTATAAATGTGCTTTGATGAATAACCCATGTCATGTTAATATCTTCTTTCCTGATGGGAAGCAGCTATTTTAACTTCTGATTCACAGCAGGTATGATTACTATTCATATATACTCATGCAAATGGAATAAATTCACAGTTATTCTCATACATTGAGTATGTTTGGGAAGGCTGTACTCGTGTCTTGAAAGTTTATTTCTTCAGAATATTGCAAAGGGCTGACTTGTTCAAGTTATCTAGTCAGTTGACTATAAATTTCAATTTCGTTAATATATCATGAGAAGGGGATGATTTCTTCAGATTGATTATAGGTAAAACAGATAATTCAAGCAAGAAATCTTTATGAAAGTCAAATAAAAATTCTGGAAATCTAATCCTGCTACCGTGGGAGAAGATATCCCTAGGCTGAAGTGCCTTATTGATATCCCTAATTGCTTGTGATAAACCCTAAATTACCCCAAAGAATTACAACTTAACATAAAACATGATAAAAAACTTACAATCCTATCGTCTCATTCTGCATCAGACTGTCTCATGTTTTCTTTTCTTTGGTTTAGAATACTTCAAGGGATGAGTGGCACGTCAGATTGTCCTTTGGACCAAGATGGATCTCATATATTCTTGGCATAAGTATGCATTTCATTCAAATATTCAGTCTCCTATTCACTGCTTGAACACATAACTGATTTTATGTGTTACTATTCTACCTTTTCCACCACAGGCGGAATGACTTTGCTGATGTATTTGAGCTTCACTCTAATAGAGAAGTTCCAGCAAGCCCTCACAGACAGAGCAGGAGTTCATCTCGGGGAAACAGCAACTCAGAGAGCCCCTTTGCTTTCTCACAAAGATGATGATCTTTCAAGTTGGGGTTCATCTTATGATTCCATGTCACGTGATGAGGAGGATCTTGACTTTCTCACGGCTGGTTCCATTGACGGAAAGTCTTTAGTTGAAGGTGAAACCAGTAATAATACCCGGCGTCTTTGTGCCATTTGCTTTGATGCTCCAAGGGATTGCTTCTTTCTTCCATGTGGACACTGTGTTGCTTGTTTTGAATGTGGAACCAGGTAATTAATTTCCACTTCCTCATTTGAGTTACATCATATTATGTTCATATTTTTCTTGGAAGCGCACCTAAGGTCAAGGTGAACAAAGGGAAAAGAGATGAAATTACTACGCTTTCGAGATTTCATATTGTGATGTCAAAGTTAGTTTGCTAAAAGTAGTAAAAGATAGAAGAGGGGACCAGTGAAGGTTTTTTCCCCCCCTGATTTATTGGGATGGTCCTTATCCTGACTTTATTTAAATCCCCACCACCCAACTACCACCAGAGGCCCAGAGCCAAGGATAAGTATGATTTCTCGTAGATGGGGTTTCCTTTTCCTAAGAAACATGGGTTTAACATGCATAGAAATTTTCATTATCTTTTTCTCTTGAAAATAGTGTATTGTTTTCATGTTTGAAGAGGCACGTACAAGCATGTTTTGCAAAAGCTACATGAAAGAGTTTTTAACATGAAAACAAACACACCGATAATCTACGCATTAACAAACCTGTTGAGTAGCTTATCTTAAATTCATGCATATTCAATGTATGTTCCAGATAGCACTTGATATATTGATTTCTATACAGCACTCAAGTGTGAGTAGTGATTTTAAGTGACAGATGAGATGAAGAGGTAATCATCTGGTCTCAAATCAATACTTGATATTACTACAAAGATTAAAAATAAGCATTCTAGTACAGATTCAAGATGACTTTTACATCGATCGCAACTTTCAATTCGTGATCTAAGCATGACGATGATTTTCTCCTCTCATTCTTACTTAAAACTAGTTTTAAATACAAGTCATTTGGGGCTATCTCAAAAGAAAACAAAATTACTCTCTGGTATACCCCAATACATCTAGGTGTGAGCGTGTGTGTACATACATGTAGGATTTCAACTAAATCGGAAATTGAAGTACTCATAATAGTTAGCTGGTGGAGAATGTTGTGGGTCGTAAATGAAATGACGAATCTATGTTTACAGGATAGCAGAAGCAGATGGGACTTGCCCTGTTTGTCGTAGGAAGACCAAGAAAGTAAGGAAGATTTTTAATGTCTAAGCATTATTAGTGTGAGGCTAAATGAATGTGGTTTTAGGCTAAATGAAGAAAAGACAGATCAGTTAGTGCATCATCATCTGTTTCATCAATTGTCAATGTCAGCTCATGGTAGCTCCCGGTAATGACCATTTGTGGGGGGAACATGTTGCTTGTATATGTTTCCTTTTGGGGAGTATATATACAGTCGGGCCCTTGAAAAATTTGCCCCTTTATTTTATTTATTTTTAGACGCAAATTAAGTCCTTGAAAATTATTCATTATTAATATTTCCTACACATATCTTGGTTATTGCAAATCTAAACAATGATGGTGATGGATTATATAATATTTTGGCGAAATTTTGATGTTAAATATTTTGGCCGTCAGTTTTATATCTCGAGATCATAACTAGTATTTTCCATTTTATAATATGAAACTCGGTATTCCTGATTATGGCTACCACATTTATTTATAAAGCATGAACAGTATAACTTATATTTATATTCTATACAATACACGTTAAATATTAACTAATTTCATATATATATATATATATATATAATGTAAAATCTATACAACGCCACTCGGAAGTCGTATAGAAGTGTGGTTTACCCATATGGCTAATATTATAGCTATTTTTTAGATTGTCCATGAAATTTCAATCACAATTAGTTTATTTTTTTTTTCATTAGCAATATTCATTATTTATATAAAATATCAATCAATATAACAAATTCAAGTATTAATGAGAAAAAAAGTGATTCATACCTGACTCTATGCAAATGTAATGGAAGAGGTGTCTAATTGTAGTAATAATTCAATTATTTGATACACACACACATACAGATACAGAGAGAGGTACCCATTATCCTATTGGGATTTTTTTTTTATAAAAACAGTGTTGCCATAATTAATTTAGGAACCGAAAGTTGATTGTCATTAATCTAATTAAAATGTCTTCCATTAATGTGTGTTGTGTGATTTAAAATTTTATGGTTTTTTTTTTCTTTTTTGGGTAAAATGGGCAACAGCCCAATATTATTTATTCAGCAAAACTTCTCTAGGGAAGAAAAACCCCAGAGAATCACTATACAAAATCTCCTGTAAATCATTAGCAGGTCTAACAACCCTCATCAACTCAAAAGAAAATCTCAGACTATGATTGGCCAACGAATCAACACATCTATTCCTTTATTATATCTAATATAGAAAGATGATTACATTGTTTCTTATTCAGTTCCAACATAAGCCTATTATTTCTTTGTACATCATCTACAGGCCTCTCCAGCTTGTTTATAACAGTCAACGGATCCCCATCCACAATCGGTTTGTCTACACCAAATTCCTTCGCAAGTTTCAGACCACAAAAAGCTCCCCACAATTCAGCATTAATTGCTAAACACGCCTCCAGATTAAGCCCAAATTCATTCAACCATTCCCCCTTCTCATTCCTCAATAATCCTCCACACGCAGCAAAAGAAGAATTCCCTTTCGCAGCACCATCAAAATTCAACTTTATCCACCCTTGGCTAGGAGGCATCCACGAAACATTAATAGTCCCATAGCCACCACTTGTCATTACACTATCAGTCTTCAAATTAATTAGTTCCCACACATATTGTCTAATAATTTTGTTTGTGTCAGCACATTAGACAAATCCTTCTTTAAACAACATCTTATTCCTCCATTGCCATTGCCACTAACAAGTTACAACAAATAGATGCCCCAACTCTTCCCCCTTGCTCAAATTCACACCAATCCATTCCTTCATATTTAACCGGAAGAATTTGTCCTTAACTTCAACACAACACAGCTCAAGCCAAATTTTTGAAGCAACTTCACAGTCTCTCAGTGCGTGTAGTAAATCTTCATCAGACCTCCCACATCTCAAGCAAACTGGAGATCCTCTAATTATTTTAGCTCTCCTACATGAAGTAAGAAGCCTGTTCTAATAAGCTAACTAGAGATGAACCTGTATTCTACAAGGACCCTTCCATGACCATATCTTCTTCCAAACACTATCATGCTTCATCCCCACACCCCCAACCATCCACCTGTACATTTCAGCTACAATGAACTTCTCCCCAACCGAGCCTCACCGTCTGATTTTGTCCTGTCCAAAATCATCACAGGGCCTTAGAACCGCCCTTAATCTCAACAGAACATCGTCACTTAAATAGTCTTTTAAAAACATGAACTCCCATTCCCTATATTCATTCAATAAATCCACAACTTTGCATTCAAGTAATCTACCCATTGGCTTAGTATGGCATAGATCAAAAAGAGGTTTCTCATCCCCTAACCATAAATCAATCCATAAATTAACCTCTTCCCCATTTCTACATTCCCTTGCAACATTTTCAATAATTTTTGGCCAAACAAAAGCCAAGACTTTCCATAATCCAGTGTCTGTATTCTTCACCATTACCTTTTGTAGAAGATTCTCATCTTGGCCATATTTACCATACAAAACCTTTGAGCACAGGCTATTCGGCTTTACAGTCATATTCCACCCAATCTTAGCAATCGGAGCAACATTCATCACACACATATCTAATCCCATAGCCCCCCTCGTCCTTTGGTTTGCACAACACCTCCTAACTAATAGCATGTAATCTCCTCTTATGCTCAGTGGAACCCAAAATAAAGTTCCTCTGTAACTTCTCAAATTCTTTGCAAACACCCCCTGAATTTGAGTATGTTACATAGAAAATACTGCCATCTGAGAGGTAACAAATTGCACAAGTGTCAACCTTCTAGTTAGAGATAAATTTTTCCTCTTTTATCCACTTAATTTGGTCTATAATTTATTCACCAAATATTAAAATTTATTTCTAGAGGCTTTACCATTAGTAATATAAGCCCCAAAGTACCTTTCTAGCTCTTTTTTTACACTGAAATTCACTAATATCACATAATTCCTTCCTCCTCAGCCCCAAAACATTATTTGAAAAGTAAATATTAGTTTTCAAATTGTTTACCTTTTGACAAAAAACTTGATCAAACAACTCCAGATAGCTCACAACATTGTGCATTTGGTTCACATTCGCTTTACAAAAAATCAACAGATCATTAGCAAATATCAAACGCTAAATTAGAGTTTTACTTCTACCAATTAGTAAAGGTTTCCATCTACCTGCTCTGCTGCATCAAGAATTAAATGAGAAAGCTTCTCCATCCCTAAAACAAACAAGTAAGGTGATAGAGGATCCCCTTGCCAAAACCCCCTTTTAGGTTTAAACCATTCCCTCCTTTCTTAATTCCACATCACAGCCATATTTACAGTACTTAGGTAGTTTTTAATAATCCTAATTACATGATCAAGTAATCCAATCTTATTTAACACTTCAAGAATAAATGCCTAATTCATCTTATCATATGCTTTCTCAAGATCAATTTTTATAGCCACATATCAATTCCTCCCTTTCATTCTCTTCATCATATAAGCTAACTCTTTGGAAATTACTATATTATCGTGAATTCTATGACCAGGGATAAAACTAGCTTGATAAGGGGAAACAAGGTTATTCATTAGCCCTTTAAGCCTTTGCACTAACGGTTTTGTCACCCCTTATATACACATTACATAAAGCAATTGGTCTAAAATGAGAAAACATTTTAGGAATATCAATCTTGGGAACCGTAACAAGTAATGTTTTGCTAATTTCCTCAAGCTTCTCCAAGTATTCCACAATAATCTTATAAAATCAATAACATAAGGACCAATTACCTCCTAATTTTTCTAATAGAAATAGCCAGCTATCCATCCTCACTAGGAGCTTTAAAAGGCCTTATCACTAAAAATGCCTCCTTTATCTCTTTGTCCTCTAGTGGCTTACTCACTCAAGAAAATTCCTCAACACTAATATGAACCCAAGACTGATTTGTGAAGATCCAGTTTCTTTACACCAAATCATCATCAAACAGTTTTTGATAATACATTTTAATCAGCCTGCAAATTTCACTATCATCATTAACCCAGCAACCATCCTCATTTTTTAACATAGAGACCTTATTTCTCCTTCTTCTTACCAATGTCTTCATGTGGTAGTATCTTGTATTTTGATAACCATATTCAATCCAATATCTATGTGATTTTTGAAACCAAAGTAACTTTTCTTGCTATAATGTCTCATTTAAACTGATTTGGAGTTCCTCTTACTGCTTCTATAACACAACATCTTTCCAGTCAACGATCCTTTGCACACACTGTAATTTAACTTTCAAATTCTTAATACTAGCCTCAACAACTGCAAACACTTCATGATTCCACTATATCAGATCTTGCCTTAGTTTCGCTAAAGCCCAGGCGTATCCATATCACTGCGCCGTCGGCTTAACAAAAAAATCACTAAAGCCTATGAGTCATCCATGCAGCCACAAATCGAAAGGGATGCTTCCCTCTTCTGTACCAGACATGTGAAGTATCAATAATTAAGAGGACTATGATCAGAGTTTAGCCTTGTACCCACGTTAATCAAAGCGTCTGGGAAAGTGCATTATTATTGAGCATTACAAAGACTTCTATCAAGTCTCTTAAAAATTCTATTTGATCCCTTCTACTTTGGACCCTTCTATATAAAAAACAGCCCTTTTGCTTCAATATCAATAAGCTCACAGTCATTAATCCATTCACAAAACTTGTTACAACTTCTCACATTCACCTAGCTCCACCTCTTTGCTCCCTAGTTGATGCAATCACATTAAAATCACTAGCCAGCTTATTCAAACTTTCCTTTAATCTACTAAGTTCTAGCCAAACCTCATATTTACATTCTTTATATGGACAATCATAAACAATAGTAAAATACCACTGAGTACCACCAGGGATGTCAAAACAGCAATGCACAAACAATTTGTGCTTCTTGATGACATGCAATCCAAGATCTTTGGCATTCCATAGAACCCAAATTCCATAGTAAAACCATGAGCTTCAACTAACTCAAAAAATCTAAAGTCAAACTGACGTATTGTGTGCTTGGCAGTAATGTCACTAATTCTAGGCTTAAACAAAGCCAACACATCAGGTTTTTCATCCTTACATAGCCTTCATAATGAGGAAGCAAAGCCTTTGCTAGCTGCACCCCTAAAGTTCCATGTAATAATCTTTATGATAACAAATTAATAATCAGAAGCACTTCCTTCCTCACACTCCAGCATAACCCCTTTACTTTCGGAGCCACCCTCACTATTCACATCATTAATATTCTCATCCTCCTCCCTTAACATCACAGTACTATTACTAACCCTATTACCCCTACTATTACTATTCCCAGCAACCAGAGTTCGCATCATACCCTTACCCCTATTTAAGCCCTATAAGCTCCCTACACTATTAGCACCACTTTTTTGAGGTTCACTTACACCCCTATAATCCTCATCTTTATTAACCACATGTCCTTTATTTGTTTGAGACATCGACCCAGCTTTCCTTCTATGCCAAAATTTGGACACATTTGAAATATCTTTCAAAGCCCTACCACTATTATTCTTATTTGCTAGACTGCCAAGAGCTGCAAATTGATTACTACTATAACAGTCCTCACCCCACTCCATCGGGGGTCTTTTGGACTGGGCTTTAACACTCCTTTCAGAGCCTAAGTTAGCTTTCCCTGAGGTGGTATTGGGGTTATTCCTCACCCCACCAAAGAGGTCTTTTAGAGCCTTCTAAGACTCGAACCTCCAACTTTTATTACTTTAAGGAAGTTAAGGCTAAATTTGGTACCATTAGCTTAGCTTAATAATATCAGGGTTGGCCACAACTTCACTAAGGTAGGAGAGGTTGGGGGCTTGATCGCTGAAAAGGCTCTAAAAGACCTTTTTAGTGGGGTGAGGAATAACCTATGTACTACTATGGGGAAAGTAGCACGTAGGCCAATGAGGGGACACGTGCCAGCACTGCATTTGCTAGTATAAGGGGTTAGGGTTGTGCTGTTACAACCACCACTAGCTTCTACCCTCGGCCCCCTAACAAGCTTCTTCCTCCATGGCCTTTGTGCAACACCCAAGGATTTTTTTCCTCAGTAGCCTCAGATTATCCCTCAATACTCCCAACCTGAACCTCACAATTAGCCTGTTCATTCATCTCCTCCCTTATGCTTTTCTTTTGAATGAATTCCTCACATGCCCATACCTCCTACAGCATAAGCATAGCAAACTCATACATTCATATTCAATAACCTTAACTTGTCCCTTAATACTATACTCAGGAAGTAATGGCTTGGTTAAGTTTAATTTAACATAAAGACGAGCAAATTTACCTCTCCCATAAAAAGCTGCTGGTAGATCCACCTTTATAGCCTTTCCACTAGCATTGCCAAGATTGAAGAGAAACTTCTTATCATAATGAGTTATTGGAAGATCAGGTAACTTGACCAAAGCTGCAGCATGATCAATCACATGTGTTGCTAGATTAAAATCAACCCTCCATCTCATAACACTCAAATAACAATCCTGATAGATCTATGGTCCCCCAATTAAAACAGTATCAAAATCCTCTTGGCACTGAAACTTTGCTAGAAAGAAACCATTAACCAAATCACATACTTGAATTTGTCTAACCTTTGCCAAATCTTTTCCAAATTCTTCACAAGCAAGTCAAATCGTACTTCTCTCCCAAGCACTTTCACAATCAATGTCTTAGCAAAAGATTTCAACAACCTTTGTTTCTCTATCTTATCAAATGAAAAGTACGAGCATCGCGGATTAGAAAAATCCAGAGTAATGCCCTCATCGGTTCTAACACGTCCTCAAATCCAATAGTTGCACCATCTCTTCTACTTCTTTGTCCTCCACAAACTCAAAATCACACCAAGAATGTGGCAGATTTTTCACAAATGCATCCCTAGAGGAAGGCATCTCCTTCTTTCCCGATGATTCTTCCTCCATCCACTCCTCCCTCCATGGCAAGAAGGAGATGTTCCTAGTGAAATTCGCACCACTGACACTAACCTTCTTACGGCTTTGATCAAGAGCATCTAGCACTTCCTCCAACGTCCCCAAGGCCAACCATGAAGACCCTCCGACGAATAGCCCTCTCATTCTCTTCTCTGATTTTCTCGATCTAAAATTTTATTGTCTTTAATTCAATGCTAAATGAGTTTGTGTTGAAATTAAAATGGATTTGTCTAATTTAATACAAATCAAAATTCATTGTCAAAAATATATGTTAACATCTAAAATTTATAAGTAGAATTGTACCCATCAAAAGAACACTGTCAAGATTCAAGAGAATAATAAGCGTGGGGACACCATAAGGTAGGTAGAACGTAGAATTACAAGTCACAAAAGGGATGATGTATCGTGACCATAAGGTTTATTAAATGGAGATAAATGAGGAGGAACATATAAATATCAATACAAAAAAAACTTGATTTACAGTTGATTTTACTTTTTAATGCGCATTTTTTAAGGTGGATCTAATTTATTTAAAATTCCAATCATCAATTTACTTTACTTTCATAATTATCCTTGTAAATCACCTTTGATCCAATTCCATTTAAGACACAAAAAAAAAAAAGAAATTCATAGTTACATAATTGTATCCCCCTCTTCCTTCATCGATTCATTTACAAAGCGGAAATTATAAAAGGCTGTTTTTATCCTATGTGTACTAATTTAGTGACAAACATTTGATCTATTTTGCTCTAATCTTAAACTCCACCTTTTGATTAAAAAAATTGACCCCTCTTTATGAGAATCTCTCTCCCTCTACTGCACAACCACGAGAAGTTTTGGTTCCAATAACGTGCTAGTATATTTTAATGAAGGTATAACATATTAATTAAATAATAATAATAAAAGGACATTTTTTTAACAAAAGCACATTTATTATAGGGAGAATTTCAATAAAAAACCCTTGATTATATTTAATTACATTTAAATCCTCTAAATTTTTGAAATGCTTCAAAAGTACTGATTTGATATTAAATTTTTAAGAAAAATCACAAAATTTTCCTTCATTTAAATTAATAGCAGGACTTTTCTATTTCACTCGTTAATTGCCTTACTTCATTTGTTCATTTATTTTTTGATGTTGTTAATTGTTTTATTCTACTTGTTTATTTTCCTAAAATAAAATTAAGTGAATGTCTAGCAATGAACAAGAAAGTAGGGTAATCAACAAGTAAAGTAGGATAATTAACAATAGTCTGTAAATAAATAAATAACATATAATATAAAAATTAATAAGTTGTCTTAAGATAATTTAAATATCTAAAATAAAAATAAGTTAAGCAAAATAATTAACTGCATTTCATAAATAAATAAGTGAAATAAAAAATTTTTGATATCAATTTTAAAAAAATAATTTTATCATTTTTTTAAATTTAATATTAAATTAATATTCTTGAATTGCAATAAAATTTCAAACATTTAGGGATTTTGAATTAAAATAAGTTTGGTCAAGAATTTTTATTGAAATTCTCGCTTTATTGTATTTGGAGAAATAGACATTTTAATGTTTAAAGATGGGCCGAGGAGTGAGAGAGTTTTGTGTATGAGGTGAGCCCAGTTCGTGATACCTTGCTGTCGATGAGGTCCTTCGCTTCCATTTCTCGTACCGGTGACTAGGAACGCACTCCGGCCAGGACACGCAGAGTAAGAAACAGAGAAGGCATGGGTGTCGACTACTACAAGGTTCTTCAGGTAGACCGAAATGCCAAAGATGATGATCTCAAGAAAGCCTATCGAAAGCTTGCCATGAAGTGGCACCCGGATAAAAACCCTAACAACAAGAAAGACGCTGAAGCTAAATTCAAGCAAATCTCCGAGGCTTACGATGTATGTTTCTATCAGTCAATCAATTCTCCTCTTCATCCGTAGTTCAATCTCGTTGTACTGGGAATTCGGTTAAAATTGGCAATTTCGAAAACTAAACTTTCTCAAATTTGATTCCTCAAAGTTTCTGCTTCTCTCAGGAAATTGAAACCGTAGGTTCTAACCGTAGGTTCTGTATGAGTTATTGGGTCTTGAATTTTAAACAGGTTCTGAGTGATCCACAAAAGCGAGCAGTATATGACCAATACGGTGAGGAGGGATTGAAGGGACAGGTGCCACCTCCAGGTTCCGGATTTTCAGGTGGTACTGATGGTGGCCCAACTACGTTCCGGTTCAACCCCAGGAGCGCAGACGATATATTTTCAGAGTTCTTTGGGTTTTCCAGTCCCTTTGGTGGAATGGGTGATATGGGTGCTCGTGCTGGTGCTTCTGGGTTTCCTCGTGGTATGTTCGGCGAAGATATTTTCACTTCATTTAGGAGTGGAGCTGGAGAGGGCTCTGGAAATATGCCAAGGAAAGGTGCACCCATCGAACGAAACCTGCCATGCAGTTTGGAGGATTTGTATAAAGGAACGACGAAGAAAATGAAGATTTCGAGGGATGTTATCGATGCCAGTGGGTGAGCTGTCTGCTTTAACTTAACAGTCCCCTGGCTCATTATTATTATTTTACCCCTGAAAGAAAGGGATAGAAGTACTGAACCCCAATATTTTTACTTGAAATATGCTGTTTGGTTTTTTGTCTTATTGGTTGATTTGAAACTTGATCGGTTGATTGGGTGGATTCATTCTTTTATTTGAAATTCAGCTGTGAATTTGTAGTCTTACATGCTCAGAGTAATCAACTTTTCCAATGGCAAGGTGGATTTTGTGTTGGGTTGAGATTTTTAAGTGCCTTTAGGCTCTGGGTTGGCCTTTTGAATCCAGACATAGATTAATGAACCTCACCTCTCCACATTTGTTAGCATAAATTTGAGTTGGATGAGTGCAGAAGTCAAAGGAGAAAAGATTACCCCCAGTCCTGAATCTCATCTTTGTGCTGTTTTTATCTTGGTCTTATGATTGGTAAATGTCTCAAATCTTCCTATTGGTCTTCTGGTGGTAGTTCTAATTTACAGCAGAATGTATTCCAGAATAAAATTTTTTATTTTGACGGCTAATAGGAATCTAGATGAAGGAAGTTCTAAGTACAGATGCTGACTGCTAATTGTTCCTCATGAATTTGATTCATTCGTGTTGTATGAAAAGCTTTGCACCACAGTTCAATCTAAAGTTTATTTGTGAATGGGCTAGGTTGTCATCATATTATTCACCTTAATTTTTGTATTTTTACTTTAGTATTTTGTTCTTTATAGTAGGCATTTAGTTTTTTTCCGGGTTACAGTTTCAGGTAAAAAGAATGGAGTGTTAATGCTGCATTGTGGGATAAGTCTTGTTATTATTGTTGTTCATACGGGATCATCTATGTCTTTGATGGACCCAGTGTCTGCTGAGTGAGAAACAAATTAATGAGATAAATTAGTTTTTATTAATCTAGAACTTTATTGGATGTGAAAAAAGCTGAATCGCAAAGATTGGATTCTCTGTCTTTTATAGATCTGTTGTATAAACTAGAAATGAAGTATTGAGGGAAATTGATTGGTCTGCTGTAATTTTATGATGAGGATATAAGATGTTGAGGTTACCAACTTGCACAACTGGAATAAAGATCAAGGGGGTGACATTTGTGGACGTTACAAAAGTTGTAAAGCTGGATTAAGAATGGATGATTTGCTTATACTTTATAGTTTATTGGCATTGAAAATATAAAAGGAATTATTTCCTGTATGAATTCTGCATATTGTAAGGTCCTAACGGGTGACATGCATACCTAGATAATTTAATTGTCTCAAGTATTTCAATATCTTCTCAGCATGGGCTATGTATACATTCTCTGTTCCCTTTTTGCTTGAAAACTTCTCTTGGTAATGCAAAAGATGGCATGCGACAGATTAAGAAATGTGGTTGTTTGGTTCTTTGTCTCTTTTTTGAGAGAAACTATTTCTCAAGTTAGTAAAGATAAGGTAGATCATTGGAATCTCTGGTTGTTTTCCATCTAGGCTTTGTTCTAGGAAGAACTTTATCTATGCGTTTGTGTTTTTTGCTAAAATGTGTTTGAAGTGCCCATATATTTAGTTCTGAAGGGGGTTCAACCCTGTTACCTATTGAGATCTCAGGCAATAATAGTAGACTAAGCTTTTCACAGGGCCAGAAGCTTAGGTGCTTAAATTAAAGGTACTGGCAGTTTCTGCTCTTAGTATTGTTATTAGCATTGTGTCTTACAACTGGATGAGATGCTTGAAGTTGAATGGGGATTTCTTTTTAGTGCAATTTGAGGTCATTTACTGCAACACTCAGTGGTGCAGTTTTTGTATTGACTTTATATACAACTTAGCTACCTAAGTTAAATGGTTAATTGGTTAAATACTCTATACAAAATTAAGTGGTTAATTGTTTCATAAATGTTTGCTCGTTACTACATATGCTATCTATTGAAATAATTTCTTAAGGACCTCTGAAGACAATGTGAAGTGTCATATTTGATGAGTGTCCGATATACATTAAACATGACACAACTTCAGTTTTTAAGTTTGGTGTTTCATTGGTTTCTATATGTCAAGATGTGAAATTTGCAGCATTATTCCAAGATTATAATAGTAAATTCAAGATAAGTGAACCAAAGTATTTCGAATTAGTTGTGACTTTTCTACTCAGTCCACCAAATCTTTTCTTCTTGTGCAGGAAGCCCACTACAGTAGAGGAAATTCTGACAATTGAGATCAAGCCTGGTTGGAAGAAAGGTACCAAAATAACATTTCCTGAGAAGGGAAATGAACAAAGAGGAGTTATACCTGCAGACCTTGTCTTTATTATTGATGAGAAGCCTCATAGTGTCTTCAAGCGGGATGGCAATGATCTTGTTGTCACCCAGAAGGTATCTCTGGTAGAAGCACTGACGGGTTACACGGCACAACTGACAACCCTGGATGGGCGGAATCTTACTGTACCAATCAGCTCCATCATTAGTCCCACATATGAAGAAGTTGTTAAGGGAGAGGGTATGCCCATTCCCAAAGAACCTTCCAAGAAGGGGAACTTGAGAATCAAGTTTAACATCAAATTCCCCTCCAGGCTTACAGCAGAGCAGAAAAGCGGCATTAAGAGATTATTGACATCTCCATAGACTCTGGCGGTAGCTCTCCCTACCACCATGTTAACCAAATCGTGTGAGATTGCAATTGTGCTGCTTGCTGATTTTCGATTTTAAATGGAAATTCTTGATTTGGTGAACTGAATTTCTTTAGAACAACATTAGGAGTTTGATATTTGTTTTTGCTGCTTAATTCTTCTCCTATATTATTTTGTTTCTGGTCTTCTTTGAGCTTTGAGAATTTTGTTCAACCACTTGTTTCTATGGAAGTGTTGGCCAGAATTGAATTTCTTTGTACTCCCAGATTAGGACCTTTCTTTCTGTCCTACTCTTAATTTCCCTCTTTGTTTCATCCGTTTCAGCCAGCTTCAATTTAATTGAGTTTTATTTTTTTAAAAAAATTGTTGCAATATAAATTTAACCTACTTTGGTTACAATATAAATTCAACTTTCTACAGAAATGTGTTTGGGGAGGAAATTACACCAAACTGTGATTGTGTATGGAGTTCAATTCTTTTTTACATACATTTTCTTTCTTTTTGAATACATGGCCACGGTAAAAATCGTGCAAGAGACCAAAATTAGATTATGTCGGAAGCCATAAGGTTTCTACATTCAGTGGGCGGTTTATCAAAGAAAGTAGTATCAAAATGATTCCTTGAAGTCATTTAGGCTACAAAGTTGGCACAACAGTTTGTTTCTCTGTAGATGTGATCAAAGGTGATTTCCTAATTCTTCATAGAGATGCTTCGAATGTTCTTTAAAATTTGTGCGAGGAGGCGGCTTTGCTCGACATCACTTTCAATGAGGGAAGAGCCTCCATAAAATTGGAGCAAACATTTACTTTGGTAATGTTACCATTCCAGCATATGTTAAGTTTTTTCAAAATTCTTATAAGCTCGGCTGTAATGGTGGATTGATAACCAAGATTCATAGTAAATTCTCTGATCCAATTCCCTTGGCGGTCTCTGATTAGTCCTCCAGAAGAAGTTGCTCCATTGTGTTTGACTAAACCATCAACGTCAAGTTTAAATCATCCAATTTTTGGTGGATATCATTTAGCTTCGTATCTGGAGTTGATTCTGTTTAAAAAATCAACTTTAACTTGGAGCTTCACGTCATTGATAATTTGGTTGGTATTAGAGAAAGTGATGTCTTTTTTTGCATTTGTATCTCTTGAGTAAATTTTTTTGCATCTTGCTTTCCAGATGTTCTAGCAAGTATGAGCAAACAGTTTCTACCAAAGCAATCTTCATGTGGACATGCTTTTTGCTTTGTTTTTAACATTTCAAATTATCAAATCCTGCATAGAAAGAGAAAAAAATATCACTTTTGGATGGATTAATTAATTTTTTCCAAACCTCATTTACATCTTTACAATCACGTAAAATGTGAATAGAAAAGTTAGGAGAGTTGTAACTAAGTGGGCATTTGCGTTGCTGAACGTTTTTTTCAATTGAAGATCGTGACATTTATTTGTAGCTGACCTCAAGCCGCCTTTCAAAGGAAATATTTAATTTTCTTATATATAGGCTATTTTTAGATTTTAGACCATATGTTATAATAATTCTTTTCTTGTTGATTGTTAATGGCTTTGTAGGCAAATTTGATAGAGAAGTTCTTGTCGCTAGAGGGCCTCCAAATAATAATATCATCTTCACCATAAGAATTAGGTGATTGCATAAGGGTAATTTATTTAATAATACTCTGATGAAGGTAGCTTCTCAGGATTTCTTTCTTTCTTTTAATTCCTATTTGAATACACTATTTGGTATTTGCTATTACAAAATTTTCTGCCATTTACATGCACGATGCAGCAAATTCGAATGGAAATATAAAGAGAATGCTAGTTGTAAAAGGGAAACAATATGGTTAAAGAGAATTATTTTTGGCTTGCCAGGAAGAATTTGTTTGTGTTCTCGATTTGGTTTTACGGGAAACTTTTAATAATATGGAAGAGTCAATTTATGAGAAGTTAATCATGATGGCGGAAAGGAAAGAAAACTGTTGGCATTCTCTAAACCCTGTTGTACAAGGAAGAGAAAGGTATCAGTTGTCAAGGAATAAAATAAAAAGGAAAAAGTTATTCAAAGTTGTTTATATATAATATCATTTTTTTGTATTTTAATTAAAAAAAACACTAATATCATTATAAAATTTATAGAAGATTGTTCTATTTGTAAGTCATGATTCATTTTAAATTTTTTGTAATGCACCAAATTTTCATATAATTTTATCTACATATTATTTCAATTAAACTTATTTGAGTAGTAGAAGGCAATTTCTGCCTTCAAGTCGATGGACTTTGGTTTTTCTTCACTGAGGTCTTTCATTGTATCCCCTATTGTAAGTCTGAACTTTCATATGAAATTTTAACAATATAAACGGTAAAAGGGCAACATACCATCTAAATTATATGTAGAGTAGCATTAAAGATCTGAAACTTATTTATTATGTAATTTTTTTTTACTTTTGAATTCGTTGCAACCTCCCCCTTGACATTAAATAAAAGATACTCCTTCTAATCCTATTTCTAGGGGAGAGAGAGTAGATTTTGGTCCTATTTAAAATCACGTCATTAAGTTTTTATAATAATTTTTTTTATCTTCCATTAAATGTTGTAGAGAGAAAATATGTTATTGAATTGTGTATATTTAATAAGGGCAAAATTAAAAACTTATTAAATTTTAAGACAGAATTAATGAGTTTTAAAATTTTTCTTGATACTGGTGAAACATGTTGGAAGTAACTTGTAAATAGGACCAAAAAAGTAATGTCTATTACTATATGGTTGTCTCATTGGTTCATGCACATGTCAGGTAAAAATGAATGCCACACGTTTGAACTAGGAGGCCGTACTACCATAAAATACCAACATTATCTTCTATTTAATGTCAGGGAAAACTTGTTATGAATTCAAAAGTTGAGGAAATAAATTATATAATAAAGGAATATAAAATTTCTAGTGTTACTTGACTTATAGTTTAAAAGATAAATTGCTCAGTCATGCTAAATTAATATGCACTTTTAAATACTATTAAATTTGAATCATAAAATAAAAATTGACAATCTAAATTTGTAGTGTTTCGCTTCACGACAATAAAGAGAATTCACACTCAAAGTGCATCATATTTATATCATCAATCTGTCAATATACATATAAAATTTATATGAAATCATCATAAATCATGAAAAATTCTCACCCTTAGTATTGCAACATAGGATAAATACAACTTTAAATTTTTATATTTTGCTTGAGTTTTGTTATAGGTTTTTATATCTTTTAAGGACTTAAAATACCAAAAAGTAAAAGTATAGAGATTTAGAATATTAAAAAAAATACAGAAACTTATAGCAAAACTGGAACAAAGTGGGACCCAAAGTTATGTTTGTTAGGAAAATTTCAAGGAGGGACCCTTGACCACCCATAATGAAAAAGAAAGCCCCTCAATTTTTGAATTTCACTAAAAGACTCGTGCAAATTTTCATTTGAATTTCTGATAGAAATGGCAAAATTATCCTCATTTAAATGAACAACATAAACGGCTTGCTTATTTTTATATTGTATATTGTTTATTACTTACGAAATTTATTCATTTTCTTACTTCACTTATTTATAATCTTAGTTTCACTGATTTCATTCCAAGTGTTGATTTCATGATAAAATGATTTATTTGTTCTCATACTGTATGTGGTTTATTTACTTACGGAATATTGTTCGTTTCCCTGCTTCACTTGTTTATGACCCTAGAATGAAATAAGGTGAAAGTAGAATTATAAACAAATAAAATAGGAAAACGAACAATATAACGTAAGTAAATAAACAACATACAATATGAGAACGAATAAGTCATTTATATTATTCATTTAAATGAGGATAATTTTATCATTTTTGTCAGAAATTTAAACAAGAATCCATACGAGTCATTCAACAAAATTTTAAAAATTTAAGAGTTTTCTTTTTTATTATGTTTCATCAGGCGCCCTTGACTAAAATTTTCCCATCGTTCCCTGCACACATGATGCTGCCATTTAGCTAAGCAAATGGTGGGCTGGACTACAGAGTCCGAGCTCTTACACTAGTTGACTTATTAAATTGTCTGTTTGCAAAAAGAACTTTGGTCTAACGTTGACTTAGCTTCGGCCTAAAATCAAAAGGAGATGCTTTTTGACTTGGTCATTTTACGTGATTCAACTCAAGCATCCGCCTAAATTCTTTACTCCTTCACTTTCATTTTAAAATTGTAATTGTAATATAAGGAAAAAAGAAACAAATACCTCCAAAACTTTTCCAAATGAACAACGGCCAACTAGCCATAAAAATATAATAATAATAATAATAATAATAATAATCTAAACGTGATTAGGTAATTACAATGTTGTACCTTGATTAATAAATCATTTCCTAAAGTAATGGAATTTAAAATTTTAAGAGTTAACTTACACTAAAACAATTAGTGTAAGTTATTTAAAATCCAATATATCACGCCTAACTAGGAAAAAAGTATTTGTCACTTATATTCTTCAATCAAGCTTGAGTCCACACTCATTAATTAAAAAGCAGAGGATACACTGGCAGTGACAACAAGAACAAGTGAAGATAGGAATTTGGAACCTTTAGAACAAATTTAAACGTGTAAAACATTCAAAGTGAAGGAAATATATAAATAATAAAATATAATATATATATATTATTTTATAAAATTTTTTAATCATATTTTTTAGTATATTTTTTTACAGATCTGGCAATGAAATAGTTCTAAAATTAAAAAATGATAAATATTTATGGAGTAAAAATAAAATGGGGGTAAAACCGTAAAAACGACGAGAGAAGCGCATAGCGTTATTTACACACACCACTCTCTCTTTCTTTTCTCTTCTGTATCTCTATTTTTCCTCTTGTTTCTTCGTACCGTTTTCTTGCAGATCACATGCATCTCAGTCACCATCGATCTCGTCGATCCCTTCTTCTTTCTTCACTTCTTCTTCTTCATCTTCCTAGTGTTTCAATTCGACCCTTTCCGCTTAGATCTCAATCGCTGTTCATGGAAATGGCTTCTAGTCCTCGCACCGTGGAGGAGATCTTCAAGGATTATAGTGCTCGGAGAGCCGGTGTTGTTCGTGCTTTGACTCAAGGTTATGCTCGGATCAATTTCTTAATAACTTCGTTTCTAATTCATTTCCTGAATGTGACTTTTTCTTAATTTATCTGTTGCATCTGACATTTTTTTTCCCTTCTCAGATGTGGACGAATTTTACGGACTCTGTGATCCAGGTAATTCGAATT